TGTTCAATATATTCTTTGTTTAAATTTTCATCAATTCCATCAGTCGCTTGTGGAGATGGTAAACCATAATGAGGGAGAACATTGCTGCTCCCTCACCCAGGCGGGGCACATCATAATATGATTTTCCCCCCCAAAAAAAAAAAAAAAAAAAAAAAATATTGTTAGGTTAGGTTTTTGTGCTTTTTTTTGTATCGTTCTAGCTATTCTCCATTCTAGTATACTAGGATTTGCATTGTATCTTATAGGTACAGTCTGCATCAAAAGTTGACAAATACATTTAGATTTTCTAAATCGCTGTACACCGTATTACACCTAAATCGTCGAATATGACAAGCATATTAAAGCATAGCTAAGATAATTATTTATTTCTGCGTTTGTTATGTTGACACAAGGATTTAATAAGTTCAATTACTCACCAGCATGTACATGAATGTTCTTGGAGAGTATGGCGAACCCGCTGCTGAGTCGTAATCGACATCTGTATGTGGTGGCGTGGACATCCCTCCTGTAGTGCTCAGCAGGGAAGGGAGACAGTTCTAGAGACCCATTTGCCAGTACCCGCCGCAGACCCTTTAAGGAACCAGCCACCGTGTTATCCGGGAGCAGCCAGTCCAACTGTGGAAGAAAAAGTATGGGTTAAGTTTCCATAATATATAGGTACTGTATGTACTTATGTAAGTAAATCATTAATGATTCTTGTAATTTCATTTTTTTATCTTTTATGTAGGCTTTCAGTCAGTAGGTATATATGGGTTGGTATGGGAATTTAACCAAAATTTTAATTTATGAATTGATCAACTATTTTAACGTGTGGTTAGGAATACTTAAGTTTCAGCATGATGTTGGTATAAAATATATGTGGCAAAGATTATTAATATTTTAAGGAATATTCTTAGAATTTCTAATAAACCAATAACCCCACTTAAAAATAACGGTAAACATATTCACGTCTCATGTTTACTACATACTAATTTTATACCACGCAAGAATATTTTATCGTAACCTAGTTATAAAGCGTACCTCTACCGCAAAAGGATAGAATGCTAATAAAACATACTTCCTCAGGCAATAATAACACCACGGATGGAACCCAATGGGGCTGACGTCGATACGGAGCCGCGGAGAACGTAAAAGGTTACCGGGGCACCGGCTCGAAGTGGAAGAGTAGGAACGGTGTGGTTTTTAGTCAGTAAGAGTCTGACACTCATTTGCCTTTAGCCAAATGCCACTTTAGCGCTTGCCTACAGAGAGAGCAGAAATCAAAATGTATGAGCATATTGAGCATGACACTGACAAGTGTCAAAAAACGTCAATTCCATATAATTTAGTTTTCTATTCTACAAGTAGACAAGCGCTAAATGGCATTTGGCTACAGCTGCCTTAGTGTGTGAGATACCTCACCCTACAAGTAAGTAATTATGGAATTCAATCAAAGTAATTCAAAACAATAAGACGTCTTCCTCATTGCTCCACATTGCACTCTCTCCCGCCTCACCTAGGCGGGAGAAGTCATTCGATGATTTTCCCACCTTAAAAACCTTACCACCTTAAAAACAAACCACCTTAAAAACGGCAATAATAACAACCAGCTTCTTATAAAACTTATAAAACCATAACGTTAAACGTTGAAGGAAAACGAGAAAACTTTATCAAATAAATAATTGGTTAATATGTCTGACACTCATTTACAAACAGCTACATGAATATGGGTATAAGGAAGATTAAATATCATATCTCCATGGTTAGCGGTATCATGGAGGTTAGGCACTGAATACCTTTTGATGTGAGGGTTCGTTTTGATTTATTTTTATAAAAGAATAAATGCCATTGTTGTTTGTTCTGAAGGAAGGTCGTGGATATTAATCTGGGTGTATTTGTATTGTAAAGAATTTAACATAGCTTCACAAAAAATGTAAATGGTTTAAGACACCCCCTTCTCATGCATGAGGATGCGGGTTCAAAATCTACCAACAGCAAGTACCAATGTGACATATTCCGAGTTATATGAACTTTCTAAGATTATTTAGACACCACTGAACGGTACAACTGGGGAAACTTAAGTTTATAATTTCTAATCATAAGTTTGAATTTGCCGACCCGCATTGAGCAAGTGTGGGTGATATATGCTCAAACCTTCTTCGTGTGAGAAGAGACCTTTGGTCAGCAGTGGCCACTTATAGGCTGTTGATGATGTTACAATAAAATAATTGAATGTTGTTTTAGAGCCTTACAGTCTTAGAGATTACGATAATAATTAATTTTATTACGATAACGTCCGAGTTTTAGAGATTACGATAATAGGTAATTTAATACTTTGATTCCGATGAAGGCAATCTATTTTTCTTGTGGCATCGAGCATTTCTTTCTTTATTTAAACAAGAGTTTATTTTTTATTTTTTTCTTGTATACGCCATCAGTCGCTAACTGTGTGCCCTCGGCCACGGGACCATATCGGGACGCCTTAGAAGGCGCGCATTTGCTAAACGCGCGACAGCATCGCGACAAAAAGTCGCCTGTGTGCAAGGGCCCTTAGATTTTGAGGTTATGCCTGGTGATAAATTGGTTATGGGAGCGTATATTACTTAGAAACTCAAACTAAAACTCGTAACATTTGTTTTTATAGTATAAGTCGATAAACGAGCAGACGGATCAGCTGATGGTAAGTAATCGGCGCCGCCCATGGACATATTATGAAACATCAAGGCGTTACAAGTGCGTTGCCGGCCTTTCGGGAATTGGGAATTTGAGGATTGTGGAAGATTCGGGGGTTGGAGAGACTAGGGAAGGGCGTAACTGGGCCTCCGGAAACCTCATTCACAAGACGAAATACAACAACGCAAGCGTTGTTTCACGTCGGTTTTCTGTAAGGCCGTGGTATCATTCAGGTCGAGCCGGTCCATTCGTGCCGAAGCATGGCTCTTCCAAATGTATATACCTTCATTTATATAACCTTCATTTAGTAGTGAAAAAACTGTACTAAATTCTGACGTGTAATCAAATCTGAAGAGTCCGTGTTGCTAGGCAACGGACTAACTGATTGGAAAACATCATTCCAACAATATAACACTATAGTATAAAATGTTAACCCACATTTTACATACCTATATTAACCCCAAAAGGATCAAAGTACCACAATAAAACCTATTGAAAGTTGCTACCATTTCAAAAGTAACTTATTGTGCTAAAATTTAAAAACTCTCACGTATAAAAGAAAAGTTGAGACACAGTGGTTTTTGTGACAGTTAATACGATATAACGCGATATTTATATCTCTCGGGGGCATGTTTGGTATCGTTATAAGCTACGTTTTCACATCCCTAGAGCGTCTTTGTCGTATCACACCGTTTTTGCATCCCCAGCTGGGTTTTTTGAGTAAATATGTATGTTCCTTGGTTCAGGATTGGATGTTCTGTAGTAGTTTTGTGTTTGAAGTCATTATTTAGATGTTTATGGCCTTGATAATGTAGGTCTGTATATAAAGGCTTACTTGAGTAATTTTTGTTTTAAAGTAATGGTAGACCCATTTCGTAACTGAAGAGATTCGCCACGAGATTATGCGTGTAACCAAGTTTCGGTTTGATTATGTAGGTACTGGAATATAATAGCTATCTATAAACTTCTTAATATTATTTTAAGAAAATCATAAAAGCAATTAGGCGAATATATATTTTCAAGTTACTCCAGAATGTTTTTTATATACTTGTCTATCACTTGGAAAAGGTTTTAGTCACGTCCTCTTCGTAAAAAAGATATTATATTTTCACCGTCCAATGTTACAACTGTCAAATATTATTTTAGTTCGTAGAAATCTCAAAAAGCACTTCGCCTTGGAAGTGATAGCCAAAGAGATTTCAAAGAACTGAGACTTAACGCCCGCAGGTCTTACTACAAGACTACATCAAAAACTGTTAGTCGAAAATGTATATTTTATTGAAAATTAAGTTACATATCAAAGTTGTCGCACCTTCTTTTTCAAATAAGTATTATTATTTTCGATTCCAATAAATTTTCTTGTCCTGATAATGATATTTATTTGAATTGGCAATGGGCGTGACATGTAGCTCACAAACACGACTCGTGGTACAATGATGTCCTGGAGTGGAGACCGTGGGAATACAAACGACCTGTTCGTAGACCACAGATGAGATGGAAAGATGATATCAAAGAAGTGGTGGTACAAAATTGGATACTAACATCCCAAAATAGAACTAAGTGGAAAGATTTGAAGGAGGCCTACACCAAATTGGCTGAAAATGTCTTGAGATGATGATGATAGTGAAAATTGTCATAATGTACTTGTATTAATCATAAGGTCCTATTATAATAAAAAATAAAAACTCCCAATCGAATTCAATCACGGTGTCTAATTAAGTCTAACTAGACTAGCCTACTTCGCAGGAAATATTATAGTGCACAAGTGTATGCGCGAATACAAGTACCTACACTCTGTTTCCTCACTCTCTGAACCCGATGGGACGGTAGACCGAGATGAATAGAGAGAGGTCAGGCTCCAGGACCAACGGCTTGTGGCTGAGATAGTGACGATGGTGACAATAATAAATAAAACCTATTTGCATGATTTATTTTTACATTTACATATAGATAGGGTTATTCAATATCTTGCAACTTTAAACAATCTCAAAACGGTCTTATCTACGAACAAGTTTGAGTATAAAATATGTACGGCAGTAGTTTGTGGTGTGTTTCAGGCAAATTTGCATTTTTCCGTGCCATTAAACGCGGCCCGCCGTCAGACCGGTCGACCGGCCCGCCGACGGTCTCTCGCTGTTTAATTCACTGGTATTTCAATATATTTCACTGATTTCATGCTGACATGAACAGTGATTGTTTGAGATTAAAGTAAAATATTTGGTTTACTTGTCTATCACATTCACATGGGCACACACGGTATTGTGTAACCTACATGTTTTTTAAAAAGCTAAGATTTTTGTTAATCTTTATAAGGGGTACATGTATATGTCAACCCCAATGTTAAATTTCTAATAGATCCTTTATAACAGTTCTTTTTTTAAGGGGGAAAAATCGTCGAATGACTTGACCCGCCCGGATGAGGCGGGAGGGAGTGTCAGACACTTACTGACTAAAAACCACCCCGTTCCTTATCCTGCACTTCGAGCCGGGGCGCCTGTAACCCGTTACGTTCTCCGCGACTTATTATAGTTCTTAGGATGCAATTTTGTAGGTATGTATAAATAAAATAGAACCAATAAACAAAGAAACACATAATATTAAGTTAATTAGAATTTTACAGATTGGTCTCTGCACTTAAGTACAGCAAAGGAGTTTCGTTGTAAGTTCAAAAATAGCTAAATAAAATATTAATTACCTACTTACTCTGAAAATGTATTCAAATAAGAATTTGATCACAGACATTGTCTTGGTTTGATGAAAGCGTTTGAAACCTTTACTGAGGCATCGGCGTTCCACTCGACAAAGGCTCAAAACTTTTGAATTCAAAGACAAGTACCTACTATAGAGATGTTGCGTTTTGTATTTCAAATTCCTCAGGTCTTGTGTTTCGTGAAAAACGAGCTCCTCTTAGTAATCTTACTGCCAAAAATTGTTACGGAATATTCCAGAAATTTTGATCAATT